GGGGAAAAAAGTCACACCAGGATTTGTAAAGAATTTCTTTTTCAATAAAATGTTTGACAGAGGAAGAAGATTTAGTGTAGAGATTGAACTTTTTGTTTGCTTGTGAGTTTGTTGACAGGAAGCAACATGTCAGCTAGTGTAAAACATCTCTCAAATTCAGTGATCCACATTGATGAGCACCGAAGACCTTTATCATTCTGTAGCACTAATGTGTTAGCTATTTGACTAATTCTTTCTTTTCCTAGAAAAACTGAGTCTTTTGAACACTTGCTGGAATTTGCAAGCTTGTATGCCAGTAAATCACTGGGTAGCTCAGAACCAAACCCAATGCTGCCTTCACTCTGTAAGCATACCTCAGATAACATCTTAACGGTGTGTTAAAGGTCTTCTCTAGTAATATGGTATACTTTTTGTTGTATAGATTACAGATATTTAGTTTATAGATTTTTTTGCATCCTTCAGCAAGAGAGAGCCCAATGACCTTTGCAGTGTTTGTACAAACATGAGCTGGGATGCAGCTGTGGGGTTTGTTTTTTTTATCTATTAAACCACAAGCTGCCTTCCTGAGAGCCTGTCAGAACTGTAATTGCTAGCTGCTTTTAAAAATATCCTTTTCTGAATTAGGAGACAATATTGAGTATTTCATGCTTGGAGCTAAAACATTTTTGTCAGTGACAAGACTTCATCAGAAGTGTGTAGCACCTAGTTTAAACAAAGTTTAAACTGAGTTTAATTTTTTTAATAGAATTTGAGGAAACATTTAAGGTTCAACACATTTACGTTGAGATGTCTTTCTCTTATATAGCTCTGTGAAAGGCAACATTTCTTACATGTAGCACAAAGGCTTAATTAAATTGATTAAGAACTAATTATTTGGCATCATTCTAGTTTCTATGCTCAGAAACATCCATCTTTCACAGTGTGAGTTAAGTGACTAACCACAGGAAGCTGTGGTGAAGCTCAGAACCATGTTCTTGAATGCATATATTTTTGCAACTATATTTTAGTTGGGGAAATGGTGACCTAGAATGTTTGTTGGTTACAAAACACAAATAGAACAGTAAATGTTTGTCACATGGAAGCGGATTACAGCAACTGCTGGGCTCTCAGTCTTGAACGGAGAAGACTACAAGGACTCCTGATACAGTTGTGCTAGAAAGTTTGTGAACCCTTTTCTCAATTTCCACATAAATTTGACCTAAAACGTGATCAGATCTTCATCTAAGTCATAAAAATAGGTAAAGAGAACCCAATAAAACAAATAATACACAAAAAGATACTTTTCATTCAGTTATTGATTGAAAGTACGTGAACCTAAACCCAAAACCCAACCCCAACGTTTACGGTAACTGTTGATCAGTCCTGCACTTCGGCTTGGAGGAATTTTGGCCCATTCCTCCTCACAGAACTGCTTCAACTCAGTGATGCTGGTGGGCTTTCTTGCATGAACTCCCCGCTTCAGGTCCTGTCCCAACATTTCTATTGAATTAAGGCCTGGACTTTGACTCGGCCATTCCAAAACATGAAATTTCTTCTGCTTCAACCATTCTTTGGTAGACTGACTTGTGTGTTTAATGTCGTTGTCTTGCTGCAAGACCCACTTTCTGTTGAGCTTCAGTTCACAGACAGACACCCCGACGTTCTCCTGAGAACTTGCTGGTACAAACCAGAATTCATAGTTCCAACAGTGATGGCAAGCCAATCTATTCCCAAAACAGCAAAACAGCCCCAAACCATGATACTGCCACCACCGTGTTTCAAGGCTGGGATGAGGTTTTTATGTTGGAATACAGTGTTTTGTTTTCGCCAAACATAAAGTTTTTTTTACTCATCTGTCCACAGAACATTCTTCCAGTAGTCTTCTGGCTCATCCAGGTGGTCTTTAGCAAACTTTATATGGGCAGCAAAGTTCTTGGAGAGTAGCGGCTTCCTCCTTTGCACATTATTCTTGTTTACCGTTTGCCTGATGGTGGACTCGTGAACACGGACATTAGCCAGAGAAAGAGAGGCCTGCAGATCTTTAGACATTACCCTGGGTTCTTTGTTATCTCCCAGAATATTATACGCCTTGCTTTTGGAGTGATTTTTGTTGGACGGACACTACTGGGGAGAGCAACAATGGTGTTGAGTTTTCTCCATTTGTACACTATCTGCTGACAGTGGATTGGTGAAGTCCAAAGTCTGATGAACATCGACAACTCTTTTTTTGAGGTCCTCAGAAATCTCCTTTGATCGAGGCATGGTATGCATTCACAAACCTGTGTGGCGAAGACCAGACTTTGGCGGTGAAGACTCAGGTTTCCGTTTTTTTAAATAGGGCAGGGCCACCCAAACTCACACCTGATTGTCATCCCATTGATTGACACTCCTGACTCTAATTATCCCCTTAACTGAACTGATAACCCTAGAGGTTCACAAACGTTTTCAGACAAAGACATTTAATGTTGGATCATTTTGATCAATAAATGAATGCAAAAGTATATCCTTTCATGTGTTATTAATTTTATTGGGTTCTCTGCTTATCTATTTTTATTACTTAAATGAAGATCTGATCACATTTTAGGTCAAATTTATGCAGAAATTCAGAAAATTCTAAGGGGTTCACAAAGTTTCTAGCAGCACTTTAAAGGTATTCAAAACTTCAGAATCAATGGCAAAACATGAACAAGAGGACACAAGTGGAAACTGTGTGGAATTTCATTTAAAGCCAAGAAGAGGATGAGCTTCTTTACCCAAAGGTTTGTGGGAGTTTTGAACAAAATACTCGGCCATGTTACTGAAGCCAATAAGCTTCTCAGTTCAATTAGCTACTAACTACCAAACAGGCTAGATGGGTGAAATGGTTGATCAACTAAAGGTGAATTTCAGACGCTCACTCATTTTGTGTAAAATGGAGGGTCATTGTCTCCATGTCAAAAGATCAATCCTGGTGATAGGTTCTATGAAGCCTCTACTTTTCTTCATTACTCTACTCTATGTTTTGTTCCTGGGCAGCATGGTAGAATATTCGTTAGCATTACTGCATCACAGCACTGGAGCCTTGGGTTCAATTCCAAACCTGATGTATCTGTATGGAGTTTGCATGTCCCCCCCTGTGTTTGCATGGGTTTTCTCCCACAGTCCAAAAACATACTGGTTATGTCATTGCCTTCTCAGGAAATTGAACCTGGCGTGAGTGTGTGTCTGTGGTTGTGTCCATGTGTGCTCTGTGGTGGACTGGTATCCCCTCCAGGGTGTGCCCTGCCTTGTACCCATTGCTTACCATAATAGACTCCAGCTCCCCCGTGACCCTGAATTGGAAGACATGCTTAGAAAATGGATGGCTGGATGGTTTGCTTCTTCCTCAGGTAAGTTATGTCCAGGAGTTTTGTTTTTCTTTGGAATTTTTGGAATCCATTGACACGGACTGTGGCTTTTGCCAGCTCGGTGGCCATTCAATTATATATATAAACAAGTAACACGGTAGTAATTAATTAGTAATTGTCTCCAAGAGTCAGCAATATCACAAACACACTGGGTTCCCCTTTGATGTAAGAGTGACTCCTTCATCTTGATCTGTTCTTTGATCTGTTTTTATCTTGTTTTTGTTTTTTCTTCTAATTTAGTAGCTGGATATTTTTTCAGTTGTCATACTTAATGCTCAATGTTTTTTCTTGGCGGGGGAAATGCACTAGACAACTGTAAAGGGACTAGCACGTATCTGACTTGGAAGTGAACGGGAGCTTCTCCTTTTTCTGTCCAGCACGCCAAACGCTGAGGGAAATCGCAGATATTTCTCAGAAACCCTCTGGGAAGTTGAGACAGACATCTCTTGTAGGTTGAGCAAATAAGATCAGGTCATTGATGGCTTTAGGTGAATCCCGTGACTTCTTAAAAAAATATTTCTTAAAAGAAAAGCAGAAGAGAGGTTAATTCGGGGCTTGTTTTTATTTCACTTCTCCTGCTAACTTTTATAGGCAATGTAAGTACATGCAAATTGTGGCAATTATATTCATATATTTGCCAGTCTTGCAAAGAAATCCTCAAGTTAAGAATTCTCTCATTTAAGGATAAATTTCCACGGCCTAGAAATGTTTTTGTTTTCTGAAGAGCTACAGGTAAAGGTTTTACCAAAATATTTTTAAGCATAAAATACTTAAATAAGGTCAATTGTTTTTTTTATACTCCGAGGGTCCTACATTTTCACAGCAAATTAAGTGCTTTAATAAAAATGAACAACTGAAACTCAAGCTCAAATTGTGACACATTGCCCCAGTCTAAAGGAAGGCTGAGGGAAACAAGTCTACACTGTGATAATGACCACACTAACCCATTACCAGTGACTCTATATTTTATATTTCCTCTTTCTATGTTGCCTCATACATGAAATGATAACTGTATTCTCCCTATTAATTCTCCCTATAACCTTTGTGTTACCAGTCTGATTATTGCCAGGACTACCGTAATTAATGAACACAGATTACAGGACATTAATTGTTTTGCTGATTTTTTTTTATTCTAAAACAATTTGCTTTTGCACCCAGCTAGCAAGTTAACTGAAACAATTTGGGCGAAGTACCTTGCTCAAGGGTTCAACAGCAGTGTCTCCCCTGGGATTCAATTCGATCCCAGAGCCTCTGCTTCCAAGGGGGAGATGTTTAGGTAGGCCGGATCATTCATGTCCTGTGTAGAATGTGGCCAGAATGATAGGGTCTTTTACTCCTACTCTTACAAACAGGGCCATGGTGGAGAAAGAAACTGGAGGGGTTTAGGTGGGAGGAAACCAGAGCACCCAGGAGGAACCCACACGAACACAGGAAGAAGACAAACTCCACACGCATAGAGCCCCAGGTCCAGAGTAGGGCCCCAGTGTTGCGGGGCAGCAAATCTTAAACCTGCGCCACCCAATAGCTGA